GTTCTGCCTCTAAGTCCAGTCTCAAAAAGGATGCAACCTGTATGGGTTGTGTCCATAACGAGACTGGAGTTAGGTGAGTAGGCTTGGCTGGGCAGCGAAATAAGTGCAGCGTGTCATGTGGGCCTGTGCCACATGCTGGGCAGATGTTCTGCACTTCGCCGTTGATCCGGGCCCAGTAGGAATTTAGACGGCTGCACCATCCGGATCGTAATTGAGCCAAGACTACTCGGGTTTGTCGGGGCAGCTCTCGTTCTTCAGCTGCGACGGGAGGGGGATGGTCTCCTAGTACAGTATTCACTCTATATCCTTCAATGGCTTCTGAGACCGCATTAGAGTGAATACTATTCAGTCCCGCTTGATAGGCCTGTTGATCTAGAGGCTCTCTCTTATACCTCTGTACCTCTCTCTATAGATCATGAAGGTCTTTCCTAACGTGCCTGGGCGGAGGTTGCCTATCCACAAGATGGTGATTTGGATGGCTTTGTCTATAACACCCAAGCAGGTATTGCATTGACAGCATTTTGTTATGCTGTCGCACCGGTAAGACCTTCGCCTCCTCATGTAGGTGATCGACAGGTGTCATGAGAAGGCACCCTGTTGCGGTTCTAAGGGCGGCATTCTGACAGGACTGAACATTTTTCCACTGCGTAGCACTGACGTTAGCGGACCACACTGGAGCCGCATAGTTTACCACAGACCGGCCTATCGCGTTGTAAGAGGTCAACAAGGTTTCATTATCAGCTCCCCAAGTACTGCCGGCCAGAGACTTGAGGATCTTGTTCCTACTTCTAATCTTGTCGCAGATAGCTGTGGTATGCGCGGACGACTTAAAGAGGCTATCGAATGTGACCCCTAAAACCTTGGGGTAGTTGGTGGTCGGAATAATAGCACCATCGACCTGCACATTCAAAGATAGCCCCATCTCCGCAGTCCATGTGGTGAAAAGTGTGGCCGTCGACTTTGTGGCGGATGTCTTCATATTCCTCGCAGTGAAAAAGGCGGTAAGATCAACAAGGTAAGCGTTCAACCGATCGCAAATGTCATCAATAATGGGTCCGGACGCCACGAGCGTACAATCATCTGCGTACGTTATAATCTCTATGCCGTCTGGAGGGCGTGGAATTTCAGAAAGGTAGAGGTTAAACAGTTCCGGAGATATCACCCCACCTTGGGGAACTCCCTGTTTAACTCTACGGATGCTCGACTTCTTGTTTCTGAATTCCACGTACGACTGGCGTCCACACATGTAGTTTACTATCCAACGTTTCAAACTTGGCCGGAGGGTGGTGCGTTCAATGTCCTCGAACAGTGTGGCATGATTGACTGTATCAAAGGCTTTTGATAAATCAAGTGCCACCATAACTGTTCTATCGCACGGCCTGTTCTGGTTGAGACCTCTACTGACATGTGTGGAAATGGCGTGTAAAGCTGTTGTTGTGCTATGCAATTTTCGGAATCCGTGTTGATGATCGGCTACTGGGAAACACTCTCTTATGCTGGGGAGGAGTAAAGCCTCAAGCGTCTTTGCTACTGGTGACAAAAGTGATATCGGCCTGTAAGAATCACTTTTGCTGGCATCCTTGCCTGGCTTCAGTAGCGGGACCACCCTGCCCATTTTCCAGGCATCGGGAACTACTAGGGTGGCTAACGACAGATTGAGAAGCTTTGTCAGATACTCAACTCCTGGTTCATCCAGTTGCTTCAACATCACCATTGAGATTCCGTCAGGACCAAGCGCTTTGGATGACTTTGCGCTTCTGATGACCTGTGCAACATCTGCCAACGTAAATTGTGGTGGTACCTCCTCGGCTGGAAGGGATCGTACACGGCGTAGTATCCTTCTCTTCGCCCTGTCACTCACGGGGTGCTCTACAAACTGCCGGTTAAAATAACACGCGCACCTCTTCGGATCTGTCACTTCTACGCCGTTAAATGAGACAGATGTCCGATCGTCCTTTTTTCCAGGGTTCGAAAGCGACTTAACCGTTGCCCACAATTTACTCGTTCCGGTACCGATGTTGCAATGCTTCAGATGTTCTAACCACTTTCTCCGCTTATGCTCACCTACTAACCTGTTTACCTCCAAAGTAAGTTCCCTGACTCTGGGGTTATTAGGGTTAGTACGGCGAAGCTCATCTCGCTCGTTTGCTAATCCCGCTGCCTCTGCTGGGAAATTTGGTCTTATTTCAGGTATTCGACCAGCAGGTATATAGCGAGCGGCTGCAGCTTTGATGATGTCCCGGAAACACCTATCTGCTACCTGAACATCAGATGGGTTGGGCAGTTCTCTGAAGCGGCGATTGGTATACTCTCTGAATTCTTGCCAATTAGCTTTCCCGTGGTTAAGGAAAGTGCGGCGTTCAGAGTCGATGAAGTCGGGTGATCTATTGATGGCGATAATAATGGGGAAGTGGTCTGAGCCTAGAGAAATGACTGATTGCCAAGTTACGTCATTCGTCAGACCTGGGGACACGATGGATATGTCCGGAGAACTGTGGCAGTCTCCCCTTATTCTGGTGGGCGCGTCCTCAAAACGTGGAGCTATCGATTTGCTCAGCCAGCGCCATGCCTCTCTGGTCATTACCTAGGACGGAATGCCATAATTCATGATGGGCATTGAAATCCCCTAGCACCAGACGGTTATTGCCTACCAGTAGTGAACTGATATTAGGCATATAACGTGGGGCACAGCTATTTAACGGCGGAATGTACACGTTGAGCACCTCTACCTCGGCGGATCCACACTTGACCGCTACCCCCATACATTCCATGTACGGGTCACTAGAGTCAAGCTCAAGCGAGATAGGTCTGTACTGGACAGAGTGGTGCAATAGGAACGCTAATCCTCCACCTCCACCTCTGGAGCGATCCTTCCTCAGTACGTTGTATCCATCACAACTTTGAAGCCTGCAGGTGGTACTCAGCTTCGTCTCCTGGATCGCTGCGACCTTGATGTTCTTCCGACTCATAAAGCTTACAATTTCGTTGATCTTACCTCTGAGACCATCACAATTAAATTGGAGAAATGATGCATTGTCCGGAACCTGAACAGCAATGTGTGGCGTCAACTGCTGCGTAGATTGCTGTTGAGGAGATTGCGGGGAGTCTCATATTGCGACGACGATGAGGACGCCGAAGATGAAGACTCACTGGGGTCTACATTGACGCAGCAGGAAGCAATGTAGTCCCTATCGCTATACTCCTGTATCCGGTTTAGGCCGGAACAATTCCGGAAATGCACCCACTCCATGCATCCGTTGCATCTCACCGAAACCGATCTGTGGTGGATGCGATTACGACAAACGGAGCAGAACCATGGTCCGGGGTTGGTCTCGATCCCGGCTCGGACCAAGAGAATACGGAGCAAACATTCCGGGTAATGTTGCTCCCACATCAGAAAAATGGACGAACACGAACATGTATTTGCTGGGTTGACGGCCCCTGGTCGGAGAAATGTGCCTCCGAGTCAATCCGGTACATAGAACCGGCCGCCGTGGGATTTCCCGGTTGGTCCCGCTACTGAAGCCAGGCAAGGATGCCAGAAAAGCCGAATCATACCGTTCAATTTGATTTTGTAGCCAGAAGCAAAGACTCATGAGGCTTTACTCCTTCCGAGCATCAGAGGAGGCTATCCAATTGCCAACCATTGCAACACGGATTTCGTCCACAACAGCATTGCATGGCATATCCGCACATATCTGTCGAGGATTAAACCAAAACAAGCCGTATGATAGAACAGTGTTGATAGCCATTAATCTATTCAAGGCATTCGATCCAGTCAACTCTGTTACAGGTTGTAGAGAGAACTATCCTCGAGCCACGTTTGAAACGTTGAATATTCAGCTTTATGTGTAGACGACAGTCCTTCGTGAACTCGGGAACAAGAAGTCTAAACCCATTGGTTTCACCAAGATGGGTCGATATCTCCGAAACTGGTTAACCTCTACATTTCCGAAATCCATCGCATTGAAATCGTAACGTATGCGGATGATTGTACGATAATGGCGTCGGGACCTGATGTTGATATATATAAGGTTGAACACCTAAATCGCGGAGCTTGCCGCCTAGTTCCACGCGAGGAATATAAAAATATCTGTCATTAAATCAGCGGTCATACTCATTACAACAAGGTCTGCGGATATGAGAACAGAGGTAAATGTGCAGGTCGAGGGGAATATAATTCCGACCACGAATCACCCCAAGATCCTAGGGGTTATATTTGACATGTTCAAGTCTTCCGCGCAAGCCACAGCTATCTGAGACAAAATTAAAAGTAGGAACAAAGTTCTTATGGCGCTAGCCGGCAGCACTTGGGGTGCGACAAGGTCTCCTTGACCTCTTATATCGCGATAGGTCAGTATGTGGCCAGTTATGCGGTCCCAATGGTCTGTGAATACAAGTGCTACGCAGTGAAAAAACATCCAGACCTGCCAGAATGCTACCCTGAGAGCTCCTCGTGGCACCGGTGAAACATCTACATGAGGAGGCGTACGTCAGCTAAACCACCATGATATGGTGGATAAAACTTTCCCACCTAGGCGTGTCAGGAAGGAAATAAATTATCTTGAGAGAAGGTCCAACACTATAAGAGAGCCACTAGACCAAGAAGCCTATCAATGATGTCCTTATACATTTAAATTATAAGTGAGTTGCAGAAATCGAGATTTTCTTTGCATTTAAGGAGTAAGTCATCTTGAAATCCCAATATGCTGTTTGTTTCCTACTGTATTGGCAGTTGGTCGTCAGTAAGTGCTGTCATCACGATATACAAGGAGTTTTGGTTATGTTAAGTACAACACCATAGGCCATATGGAACTTTGTAGAAGTAATCTATGACTAAGTCATTTCTGGGAGGTTTATGGGTAGAGTATTTTAAAAAATCTTAGAATTATAGAAGTGTTCTCCTCGCTCTATTCAAATTTGTATAAATATGGTCGATCTTCAAAACAGATTCCTTCCAAATCAGATATAAAAACATCTTTTAAATTCCTAAAAAAAAATAATATTAAAAACACATTATTTTATTTCTTCTTGTGTTTCTTCTTTTTCTTTTTGTCAGATTTCTTGGATTTTTTACTTGATTTGTGGTGTTCCTTATGTTTTTTGTGTTTATGTTCCGATGATTTCTTTTTCTTCGATTTTTTAGAACGTTTTTTATGTTTGACGTCGTCATCATCTGAGCTGGATGAGGTATCACTTGAGCTGGAATCATCATCACTGTCTGAGCTATTGCGTTTTGAGCTTTTTTCAACCCAAACTTCAGTTAGACGTGCCGAGGGTTTGTGTTTATTAAATAACTCTAGTAATTTGGCATCAATGGCGGCAGCAGATGTTGATGAGGATGCAGACGTTTTTGTATTATCATTCGCTTTCAGATTAGAAGGCAGGCTGGGACCATAGAGTTCCGTTGTATTGGCAGAGGGTAAAGACGAAGTAAAGGTGGAATTCGAATTTTCTTTTGGCTCCCTTGAAGATTTGGGTTGAAATAGTATTTTTGTAGTTTCAATTTGTTTAGGAGTTTCTTTTGCGGGTTCTTTCATTTCTATGTCGTTTTGTTTTTCCACAACTTCATTCAACTTCAACTGAGGTTTTTCTTCTTCTGATTTGGTTGATTCCGTCGTATTGTTAACCGGTACATTAAATAGAGCCTTAAAAATTCCCCTTGGCGGTGAATTGTTTCTCAACAAATTTGCTGCTGCGGCATTCAAAGGTTTACTTAAGGGATTAAGGATATCAGTTGGTTGTTGCCCAGGTTTACTGTTGTCTTCTTCCTCGCCATCACTCTCACTATCGGAAAATATGGATTTAAATAACTCCTTCTTTTCGGTAATTGGTTTATCCATGCTTTCCACAACTTGTTTTTCCAAATCTGTTTTGGGTTTAAAAACAAAACTAGATTTTTCTTCTGTTGCCTTAGTTTTGCCCTGCAAAACATCTTGCCATTCTAAATTGACGGTTCCCTCTTCCTTTTCCTCCGTTACATTTGCAGAATCACTTGTTTGTTGCTTAACCAATTCTTGAGGTTTCTCAACATTTTTAGGAATAATGACGGGCGTTTGAAAATCCTCCTTCTTGTTAACAGATGTTTCCAAATAATCAAATACCGACATTTTTGATTTGTTTTTGGTTTTTTTCTTTTCATCTTCCATTAGACCACCAAATGGCTCAGCAATGTTGTATCTTTTGCATAAGAGACTGTGGGGTTTCCACATCATCTTGGAGCGTTCCACAACAATTGGTTTAGAGGGGTCTTTTTCGATTTCGGCAACTTTTTGTTCTGCTTTTACTTGGGATTCAGTAACAAATCTGCAAAAAAAGTTAATAAGTTAATAAAAATTAAAGCAATTGGTATCTAATAATTCTCACCTATCCGACATAATACCCTTTAAAGGTCGGTATATTTTTTTGGCCTGTACAAATTCTTTTTTCTCCATTTGTCTGTCCCACAATGATAGCTCTATTGGCTGAATGTTTTCCAAAAAGTCGTCTATTTCATGATCATTCTGCAAATTGGCTGCCAAAAATTGCTCATAACGTTTCTGTTTGGCATTGTCATTGGCAAATGGTTTAAAGGCTGACGAAATTTCTTCCGCAGTTAAGGGCGGAGCTGCTTTCTCTTCACCCTCTATTGTTATAATACCTCCTCGGGTAAAATTTGATGATTTAGCTGAAATTTTCTCCATCAAATCTTGGGTTTTCTGTTGTCGTTCCTTTTGTTGCCTTTGCAATTCCGCTATTGAGGGCTTTACCACAGAGGGTGGCACAAAATTGCCTTTGGTTTCTTCTTCTTTTCTCTTGATTTCTTCCCCCAGTAGTTCAGCCCTTCTCTCCCTGGTCATTTCTCCCTCATCGGCATTAGTGTCTTGGGGTTTGGCAAATTTCTTCTCCAATTGTCTTTGTGTGCGTGGATCTAATGGTTCGAACCGAGATCTTTTCTCATACCAATTGCGAGGCTGCCATCCAAAGGGTATTTCGAGTTTGTACTCCAATGGCTTATCTGGTTTTAAATCAATGTGGAAGTCTTCAAAAATCAACTCATCAGGTGTTAGAGCTTTCTTAGATTTCTTGGGTTTCTTTTTATCCTCCAAACTGAAATCATACCTCGTCAAATCATCTGTGGCATAAACATCTTCATCATCATCCTCCTCTAGGGCACCAACACCAAAAGCTTGGCCAGCAAATGAAATTTTTTGATTATTTTTACCCATCATTTCTAGGGGTTTGAATAAATTGATATGTTCTTTGTGGGCAGCCACAGAACTGGAACTTTGATTACTGCCTCCCAAGACTGAGTGGCGACTTAGTGGTTTATAACCCAAACCATAACGATCTTCTTTCAGTCCATAGGGAATGGGTTCAAAATCTTCGGGGGCAAATGTAATGTCATCTTCCTCAGAATCGTCGTCGCCGTCATCCTGATCATCATCATCGTCGTCGGTATCATTGGCCGTTTTACTATTAGTGGGTAAATCACAGCCGTATTTTTCCAACAAATACAACTCTTTTTTATTTCTTTCCCTCGCTTTCTTCTTTTCCTTTCGTGTCTGCCTTGGCCCAAAGCCTTGTCCAGGTCGCCAGCCCCATGATTTTAATATCCTTACAGATACTTTGTCTTTTACCGGCCTCAGAAGTTGCTGCAGTACCGGCTCTCCGGGTATTGCCTTTAAATCACACTGAAGAAATTTCCTTTTTCTTTGTTCTTTGGATGTTTCGGGTCCCGTGTAGTCTTCTTGTATCTGCAAACCTTTTGGAGCTATACCAAATTCTCCTAAATCTTCATCGTCCATAAAATCTTCGGGACGTTGTGTTACTCGGCCAGATGCTTTTTCGGATCGTGAACTTTTAAATGACTGTGGAGTCCAACCTTCTTTGGAGCCCACCGTATTCCAGTAGCCAGCACTAAAGCCTCCGGTGAAAGCACCATGAAAACGTCGTCTTCCTTGGTCATCGGTAGCAATTTGGTCCTGGGCATATACTGGTTTCTTTGTGGGCACAACCTCATCTGAAAATTGAAACAAAAGGGGCATTAGAGTACAACCATCTCTGCAGAGAATTAAAATCTTACCAAACTCTAGCAAGGGCAGAGGTGTGCCATATTTGTGTACATCCACATCGGAAGTCATTTCTACATTCCTTTTGTAATCCGGTACACGAATCAAACGTTTCCCACAGGCAGGATGATTTGGTTCAATTGTACAATTCACTGATAGGTGCCATTGAACTAGCCACTTTTGTTTACGAATGGAAAGTGGCAAAAAATGACAAAATAAACAGCTGACCTTATTTGTTTGCTTCAGTGATGCACATTCAGCGTTTTTTATCTAGGAAAGTTGCAATGTTAAAACAAACGAACAACAGTAATGCAATAGTTGCGTTTTTGAAATCGAAACATAAAAAATATATCTACATTAAGGAGGATGGCAAATATGTGCTCTGTTCCAGAACCTGCTAGAATCTACTATTTTTAAAATGTGTTTCTATATCTTATGGGAAAATAGGAAAATACAGTTCTGAAACAGACCAATGTTGTCGTGATTTGATATCTTTTGTGTTCTGATGGTCTGTCTCAGAACTGCAAGAAATCAGAAGTTTTTACTACGATAATTGATTTTCTCTTTATATTTGGAGCAGAACATGAATTAATACATGGTCTGTTCCAGAACTTCAAGAATGTAATAATTTGTACTAAGATAACCTATTTTGTAGTCCTAGTAGATTCTTGCATGACCTAGAAAAGAGCAACAATTTTAAGTGTTATTTTAAAGAGAACCTGCATCGGAATAAAAAAAAAAGTTCAAATCAGTTTTTAAGGGTGGTATAGCAGATTAATGAAATATTCCCACTACCAAGGCAGCATTCATAGGGCTACGTGATCTTCCCTTTCATCTTACGAATTAGTAAATTGAATACTATGTGCGAGCATATACACATTAATACATACATATCGACGTCTGTGTTTTCCTACCCTCAACACAAACACCTTCCCAACAGGTAGTCGATATTGAAAATATTTTCCATTGAAAACCAGTTCTTCTCAAAAATGTAATGTATCAACTTGTGGGAAACTGTTGTTTTTGAAATCCAAATCATTTGAGTTTTTGTCAATCTTCGTTGTGTATTAAACTATCTTGGTCATCCGTGTGCGATTGCGCATTAAATAAATTGGAAACATTTTAAAATATTTTATGCATTTTAAAGTTAAAGACATTTTGAAGTTTCTAATGCTAGATATTCGATGGTTTTGTTTTCAAATATTTTAAGAGTTTGTTATGAAATTAAATTGGATATCGCCTTCACTGCAATCTGTGAGTATTAAAGAAACTATGCAAAGTATTAAATTTATATTATTTTATTTATAATTTAATGGTATTATCACCCAAAATTGAGCATAGGTCCTTCCAAAAAAAAAAAAAAAATCGGAGCCAAATACGGATATTAACATCTTTTTATGGTAAATGGAAGCTATAACAAAACATACTGGAACTTCACTATTGCTATATTTCAGGACCTGCAAGAATGTAGTAGTTTTGCAATTCTGTTTTGCAATAATTTGTACATTCTTCCAGTTCTGAAACAGAACATATGGTTTAAAATAAAAGTTGTTTATGTAAATCAATACAAAATAAAGTAACTGCGTAATATGTTAGTTTAAAGGACGCGCAGTTGTTATAAGAAAATTCGTCCAGTCGGAGACCTGCTGGCCTATTGTTCATCCTATATTGAATATAAGAAAATAGTTTTCTAATCCACGAAGTCAAATTATGATGTTGTCTTTACTCATTCCGGCTAACTGAAGAATAACTGCTAGTTCTGTCTCGAAAAATGAAGATATAATTTTTCCCCCTAAATTCTATGTCTCACGTCGAAGAGAGTGCTAGAATAAATGTTTGCTAGAGTAAATGTCTGCCCAGATGTTACCCTTAGGTTTTTGACCGGAGTATTTGCTCAATATTTACCCACTGCGTAGTGTTGAAAAGTATATAAAACAATTTCACGCGAAAGTTGTGGTTCATTTTACAGCTAAGTATCCAAAATACAATGGTCATCCAAAATACTAGACTTTTTCCCTGCCATAACTATCTTTTCATGCAAAATTCCTTGTCGATTGGTTTTCAATTTTGACCTGTAAAGCGACTGCAAAGTCTGGAAAGTTTTTATTTTGTTGGACCATTTGAACCCCTAAAAGTACATCTTCAAAAACAATAGACTTTAATTCAGACCCTAGCCGACTTGCAACATTTCGTGAGGATCGGACGATAATTGCCATCTGCATATTTTGGAAAATTTGTAAACATATGACTTCATAAAGTAACCTTCCAAATTCTTACTTATAAAAACTAAATTGCAAAGGAATAGATGCAGATGGGCGAAGTTTTGGCTTTTTGGCATGGAACACATAGAAGGTAGATGTTTGATCACTTCAATTTATTGATCTCTGTGTCTAATTTTTGGTAAGCTTCGATCACACCTTAAAGTGAAATCAAGAATTGAACGTATTCTAGCCATCTCTTGCCTAGTTCTTAACTAATACGCTCTAGACTGGTCTTTCTTGTCCAGCGACCATCTATGGATAAATTTGCTTTTGTTAACCAATACGCTCTGAACTGGTCTCCCTCGTCCATCGACAATTTATGGATTCTCCCAACGAGACTCCATCGGATAGTAGAGAGCAATCTTAATAAAACCGTAACGCAGACAGCGGTCTTCGAAGTCATTAGGCCTACTTTGATTTTCCTCTACAATTTCAGTATCAATCGGGGAATTGCACATGGAAAGATGTTAGTTCTAGGATAACTTCAGACCGGCAATGGTACACTAAACAGCCATTCTTCTGGCCTCTAAAACTGTTATTTTTTTTTTTTTGAATTTTCTGACTAATTTAAATAATTTTTATACGATATCCAGCCGATGATATTTACATTGCTTTTTCTATGTGTTCTCGTCTTTATTTTGGGTTTCGCAAGAGAAATTGCTTTATGTTTTTGTAGAACAAATATGCAATTCGAGAACGCTTCCTCGTTTTGTTAATTTCCATTTTTTAATTTTTAATTTTGATGACTGTGATGGCCAACTGTTCCAATTTTGAACACTGATTTCCGCTTCCTTCGTACGATAATAACGATAGAAAAAACCTTTCTTTATCGATACCTCGTTTTTAGTATCGTTACTATCGATTCTACCATCAATTGTTTACCACCTCTAATTGCTATCATTTGCAAAAAATTATGAACGTTTTTTATTTGTAAGAGATTTGTGTTAGCGACCAAAACAATAAAAATTTACAATAAAATTAACAAAATAAACTCATCACATAGTGTAGAAGAAGAAACATAACAAAAAGTAAGTGTGGTGGCAACAAAACTTGCCAACGAAAAAAAGCTTATTACCAAAAACGGACGGGGTGAAGACGATGGTGGTTGGTTGTCTGCCGTGAAAACAGGGCTGTGACTAATAATGATGTCAATTGTGGCTAGTTGGCAAAAATGGCAATGTAACCGTATTAACCATGGCTATTTTCTATTTCAGGAATTGTTTTATTGCGTAAAAATAAGAGGTTCCGAGCAATACAACCAGCAGGCTGGTGTAGGAAATTACCAACAAATTTCTGAAAGTAAGAAAACTCGAGTTCAATGGCCTAATATTCTGTTGTTAGAATGATGCCGTTACTTCTTTCTTCCTACCACTACCACCATGACGACTACTATCTAATCCTTTGTTGTCTACTTCTAGATTTGTTGTTGTTATTGTCATCGCTTTGTGTTTACACCTCACATCAACAGTGAAGCTGTCTGCAAGCATCGGCAACTATGTCTGAAAAGAACATAAAGGTGGGAGCTCGTATTGAGCTCACAGGCAAAGATCTACAGGGCACCATTGCTTTTGTGGGCATGACTACTTTTGCTGTGGGCAAGTGGGTAGGTGTTGTTCTGGATGAACCAAAGGGTAAAAATAATGGTTCCATAAAAGGCACTGTCTATTTTGAATGTCCCGACAACTATGGCATGTTCGTGAGGCCCACACAGTTGAAAGTGATACAACCGGCTCCTGACACATCAAACCGCAAATCAACGGAAGATGTCTCAGCTGCTGATGGCCTTAAACATACCGCACCGCAGCCCACTAAAACCCGGCTAAGTATGTCCCGTCCATCTCTTACGGGCAGTCGTCTTTCCTTGAGTGGTTCCCGTTCCCAGTTGACATCGTTGACAGAACGCAGTGGTAGCACTGCCAGTACAGCCAGTCGCAAGAGTTTGGCACCCTCCACTACCAATACCACTGGGCTTTCGAAGGAAGCCTCGGCCTCAAACTTGTCTTTGTCAAATGTAGGAACTGGCGGTGCTGGTGGTGATGCAACTCCCAATAATGGCAAAAAGAATTCATTCGTGGAAACTGGTTTCATGGAAATACTCAAACCGCAGTTCAACCCCTCACAACCTATGCGTTCGCCATCCTTTACCTCACCACCCAATCAAATGAATGCCGAAGATAAATCCAATCTTAATGAACAAAAGAAACTCAATGAAGAGTTGCAAGCCCAAGTATTGGATCTTACGGAGAAATTGGAAACCTTGAAACAAAGGCGCAATGAGGATAAAGAACGTTTGCGCGATTTCGATAAAATGAAAATACAATTCGAACAGTTGCAAGAATTTCGTACCAAAATTATGGCTGCCCAAGCTTCTTTGCAAAAAGAGTTGCAGCGTGCCAAACAGGAAACAAAAGATGCCATTGAGGCCAAAGAGAGACATGCCCAAGAAATGGCTGAGTTGGCAGACAATGTTGAACTCATTACCTTGGATAAGGAAATGGCTGAGGAAAAAGCCGATACCCTACAATTGGAACTAGATTCAGCCAAAGAACGCATAGAAGAACTGCAAGTCGACTTGGAGTTGTTGCGCTCCGAAATGCAAAACAAAGCTGAAACATCGTTTGGTTCGGTGGGCGAAGGTGGTCCCTCCGTCTATGAATTCAAACAAATGGAACAGCAAAATTTACGTCTCAAAGAAACATTGGTGCGCCTGAGAGATTTGTCAGCCCACGATAAGCATGACATTCAGAAGCTAACCAAGGAATTGGAAATGAAAAAATCCGAAGTAGCCGAGTTGGAGAGAACCAAGGAGAAATTGTCGGCGAAAATTGATGAATTGGAAGCAACTGTGGCCGATTTGCAGGTGAGTGATTGTGTGTTTTTTCTGTTGTTGTTTCCTTTGTTAATGTGTAAATGGGTCTTTATTATTTTAGATAATGTCTGTGTACATTATGACGTTTTTAAATTGAATTACCTGAGTCCCAGAGGGTATTAGGCGTGTGTCGAATGTGTGGGGTACATTTTGTCCTAACAAAAAAGACACAATAGAATGAGGACAATAGCATATATCAAAGTTCATGAGAGGGGGTCTCACACAAAACTTTTGTTTTGTTTGCCAAATGTTTGTCCGTTGTATTCGTACAACAAAAGCAATGATGAACTCATATCTTACAAGAATAGCAATGTCCACGATAAAGTTAAGTGCAATGAAAAATGGATCAAGTGTCTCTTGAACTGGCATTAAAAGAAAACAACTTATTTATCTTATCAGCTGGATATGACCATTAAGACCACACATGAAATTCCAACGTATAATTATATTTCCAATGCCTCATTTCCATCTATCTTGAAAGACAATTCAATAATATAGTCTGGTTGTTGAAGAGAAATGTAGCAGTGAAATATGTTCACTATTATGCCAAGGCGTCGTCTGCAAGGTTGTAATAAAAACATCATTTTTATATATATATTTTTCGGGACCACAAATAACATAACATTTCAAAAAAATGTGTGTTGCCAACAATCTCTCACAATGGTGGTGTTAATTCTTAATTCTGGCTTGTCCGACTGACCATTGATGAGGATCTTGATGAGAATAACAAATGATATGTTAGGGACTTCGGTTCGGATATCATTTGTAATTGGAAAAAGTGGTGGTCCCTTTGCTCACTCTACTAGTCTCGCGATGTTTCACAAACTTCGAATCAGCTTACGTTAGGCAGTGATTGAAATTCCTTTTTTCCTCCGTCTAGCTGTGGTGCTCAGTTTCCTGAATCTGCGAGAAGTTCTTTTTGTAACTACATATACACATCTATACATAATTCGTTTGATTTCTGCAAACTCGGTTCTAGGTTAGCTTAGGTTAAAGGATGCGCGGTTGAATTTTGGTAACCACTCCACTGGGAGACCTGCTGGTCCATTGTGTTTATCCTAAAAAGAAATTGGAAGAAAGAAAGACTAGTGAAAACAGGTGAAGGTATTATTCATATTATATATGGTTATAAAGGTGATCCACGGCTAGAAATCTTGCCGTGTCGTCTTCAGCCAGAAAACGAACCTTTAGAGAATGAAGACAAATCATGTGACACTTGTTCGGCCCACCAACCTGTGTCTCACGTTAATGTGTGCTGGACAGTGGCAAAGAAAATGTTCGACCGTCTTAATTTCTTCTTCGTCTTGGCAGAATCGACAGTAGTCAATATCATCGCTGTCCCATTTCGAGGTTATTGCCCTCACCTTGCTGTGACCTGTGATGATAGACACCAAAAGTTTTAAGTCAGGTTTCGACAAGGACAGTATCGACATTGTTCTCTTCTCCGAGAGTGTGGGCCAGATTCTTTTGGAGATGTTTTGTTGAATTCTCTCAGAGTAGTGTCTATGAATTACCTGTAGGAAGTGGCACAGGGGTGGTATGGCCGACTTCTCAACCTTAATGGTAGTTGATTTGGACCCTAGCCTGGCCAATTCGTCTGCAGACTTGTTGCCAGGAATATTGTAATGACCAGGAACCCAACAGAGCTTGATGGACAACCCAGTGTTTTCCGAGGATCTCCTGCAATCCAAAACAACCTTAGACTTAATGTTGAGGAGTTTAGGGCTTTCAGTGCCGCTTGACTATCGACGTATATAGCTTTTGGACTACTATCATCGTTGTTCCTCGTGACCAACAGGTCTGTGGCTTTATTGACCGCCTAGAATACGTTAAGTCGTTTCTAAGCTTGTAGGATTCGCGAAAATTAGGAGTGTCACAGAGGACACCATCCCCGTTCCACATTCCATCTTTGAACTGTTGGTGTAGACAACTATGCCACAGATTATTACGGGCCCAGGTGTCCCTGTCAAGTACCGTGGTAAAATATGTGATAAAATATGGTTTGGATGACTCCCAAGATAACACCCAAACAGGTACTGCAACGAAAGCATATGGTTATGTTATGAGAAGGCACCCCTATTGCAGATCTCAGAGCATCATTCTTACAGGTCTGGATATCACAAAAATGTCCTCGACCTGCACATGAGAGAAGAGAGAGAGCTTACACTCTGTGATAAAATCTTTGGCCCCACTTCGGGTATTTGACCAGCAGGCCTATAGCGGGAGGCTGTTTGGACAAATCCTTTTAACATCTCAAAGAAGTAGAAGTTTATTTAAAGCTAGGATAGGTTTACTCTCTGTAGACTACGACGGGCCGCAACCAAAAATTCCTCTGATTTAATAATACCTTAACGCAAGCCCTTTGCAGTTGCAAAATCGGGAAAGGTCAATACTCGGGTGTAAAATTTTGTATATTGTAACCTATGAAACATCAATTTTTCGTCCTCATTCTCTATTTTGCTTATTAATTTTTATTATTTTAATCCCTTTGACCAAATATAAAGATTCGAATTCTACTTCTTATTTCCAACACCCATAAATAATTTATTTTTCCTTTTTCTAATTTCTGTTGCTAACAAATTGGGTTTTTTGCAAAAAATCATTCATATAGGAGGTAATGGCAAAATTTAAAATTCTTTTACCTTCCACAAATAGTTTTTATTTTAAAGACACCTTAAAAATCATTAAAATCTGTAATTGTTCTAATTGTTATTAAAATTTCCCTTACATGTACTTTTGCAGGAACAAGTGGATGCAGCCTTGGGTGCCGAAAGCATGGTCGAACAATTGTCCGATAAAAAATTCGAATTGGAAGATCGTGTAAAGCTGCTGGAAGAGGAGGTTGCCCAATTGGAAGCTTTAGAAGAGGTCCACGAACAGTTGATTGAAAGCAATCATGATTTGGAAATGGATTTACGTGAAGAATTGGATTTGGCACAGGCTGCCAAAAAAGAAGTTTTACGTGAACGGGATGCTGCCATTGAAACCATATACGATCGAGATCAAACCATCACCAAATTCCGTGAATTGGTACAAAAACTAAACGACCAATTGATTGAGTTGCGAGACAAGGCTTCGGCAAATAATGAACAGAAATCATTGCAAGACAATCAATTGAAGATTGCCACTGAATCGGTGGACTATAAACAAATGTTTGCCGAATCGAAGGCCTACACCAGGGCCATTGATGTGCAACTGCGACAAATTGAGTTGTCCCAGGCCAACGAGCATGTTCAAATGTTGACAGCCTTTATGCCCGAGTCGTTTATGAGCCGTGGTGGTGATCATGATTCTATATTGGTTATCTTATTGATTTCACGTTTAGTCTTCAAGTGTGGCATTGTCATAAGCCAGACACGTGAACGTTTCCCGGCTGTGGACAATGTTACCAAAGAGTCCCTTACCCAGGGCCACAGTGTTCAACAGTTTGCCTTCAAGTGTCGTTTGATGCATTACATTCACAATTTGCAGTGTGCCTTGCATCAAATATTGTATGGTTTGAATAGCTGCCAACCCGATACACTGTTGAGAGCTGGTTCCTCTTTGCCCGAAATGATTGCCCAAGAGAAGACAATTGATGGCATTATTGAATTGTTGAAATCCAATCAATTGGATGAAAACTCCACCACCGACAACATCGAGAAGTGTGTGGCCTTCTTTAATGCCATGAATTCGGTGTTGCTGGCTGGTGAAGATCTCTTGAATGAGGCCCAAATGGTACGGGACAGTGTGGCTGCCATACAATCAGCTTGTGAAAGTGTTCTCACAGACACAGGCATTGCCAAGGTGATACTGAGACAAGAAGGATCGACCAGTGATGCTGCTTTGCTGTTACAGTTCTTGGGCGACAATATTGAGTCGATAAAGCAACAGGTTAAGTTGATTAAGAGACGTTTGCCACAAGATTTGCATGTTGTCAAATGTGGCATTTCACAAACCAAACTTGAGTTTATGCGTCAATTGACGCATGCCCTGTCACGCATTATGTCCGCCCTACATTTGGCCAACAAACAATCGCTGGCCAGTATTGTGGCCTCCATTGAGGGCGATAGTGACAGTGATCAATGTATTGACCCCACCAAATATTGGGAATTCCTTTCACAGGCCTGTGAAAAGATCTACGAACAGGATGATCGTGGTCCATCGCAAAACTTTAAGAATATTCTGAGCCAGGCCAACAGTGATTTGCAATCAATTGCCCAATACTTGCTGGACAAGGAATATGAAATCATGTCCATGGCCAATCAGAAACAAGAGAAACCCGCCTCACCAATTATACTAAGGGCCCAAACGATCAAAAAGCAATTGGAACAAAAGAATGTCTTGGCTGCCACTTTGGAAAATCGCGAGGCTGATATAAAACAATTGAAATTGGCTGCCAAGATGAAACAAAATGAATTGTCTGAAATGCAAATTCGCAAAGATTTGGCAGAGAAGAAATTATCTGTGCTACAGGCTGATTTCGATTCGGCCATGCAATGGAAATCTAAATACGAAGAGACTGTTGATTTGCTGAAACGCAAAGAAAAAGAGTTTGAGGAAACATTGGATCATCTGCAAAGCGACATCGATACATTGGAGAATGAGAAACGTGAAATCAAGGAGAGAATTAAGGGCCAAAATATGGGAGTTGCTGGTAAGAAGGCTGACAATTCCTCCTTACTCTCCACAACATTGCCCTCGGGCCATTCAACAAATATTTCCTTCTCTTCGCATACAACTGGAGCCACACCGCTCATTGCCGAAGAATTGCAATTGCTTAAACATGTCTTCAACACCGAAAGAAGTGAACGTTTGCGCCTACAGGCCGAACAGATTAAGAGCAAACTAAAGAAATTCGATCCCATCTTTGTGCCACAGCCTAAAGATAAACGTATCATCGAGTTGGAGGCTGAGTTGACAAAAATGAAACATGCCTGGGCATTATCATTGCTGCAAACCAGCCCCAAAGCCACAAAGGACAGTCACAATTTGGTTGCCATGCAACGTAAACATATGCCTATACCTGAGAAATCCGAAATATCCAATAAGGCCACACATTTGGCAGCGGAAATTCTGCAAGAATATTTGCAACGTCATCCGCACAGAGCAGCGGCCAGTGAATTTGGCGTTTTTCCCACTGTAGAAGTTAAGAGGGTATTGCAATTGTAAAGAAAGAAAAACCAACTCTTCAGAAGCTAAGCAATTTTTAGGGTCTAAAATGGAAAAGGAATACGTAAATTTGTTTATAATTGCAAAAACACATAACCTCAAAGCACAAAATTTCTAACAGGTTGAAGCCAAGCTAAATTTGTGAAGGGCTATAAAATTCCCGGCCACCTGCACCTAATTTCATACCTCAATAATCCCTTCCCCTTCGGACTTTAGCTAAGCGATTTTTCTTGGATATACGAAAAACAGAAAACGAAAATCTATTCAAAGTTAAAATCGATATATTTTCTATTGTGCACGCTCGATTTCGATTTGAGTTTTGTATTTTTTGTATTAATTGCAATTTGCAGATTTACATTATTTCAATTATTATTCTTTGTTTTATATATCCATTGATATTTGATAACCCAGCAACAATTATTATTGTGTGTCTCATTAATATTTTAAATTGATCTGAAATGCTATTGGACTGCTTAGCAGTCGTGTCATTCGTTTGTTTATGACACCACATTATCTCGGTATTAATTTTGTTTTTTTGAAAATTGTGGGCGTGTTACCACGCCCCAGTTTATTTAATATATATATTTTTTGTAATAATAATAAAACATGTATTAAAAGAAAGTGAAAAAAGTGTGACTAACTCCAAAAAGACATTTTATTCTATATTTATTTAAAAAGAAATATCAAGTGATGAAAAATTATTCAAATATATGTATATTGTATTTTCTTTAAATCATTCTCTTTTAATTTATTTTCAGCGGGGAGAAGTTAAAAAAATTAAACTAAAAGGAAATCAATTTTTGTTCTCAATAAATTAATCAAAGAAATATTGGCCAAAGTTATGGGATTATATGGGTACTTATACCATCCTATGTACACCGCTTACAACAGCCCATTATAGAAATTTAAAAAACTGGAATTTCTGATGCATGTTTAGTTCTTGAAAGTTCTGAATGTGAGCGAGAAAAAACTAGCCCAGTCTGTCTAGATAGGTTAGACTCCGAAGACGGCAATTATACTCTAATGGATTTCTACATCGATGACTGCATCAGCATGAATTTTTTTAGACCTGCCTGTGTCCATTTAGACAGGTACTGCAACGAACGCAAATGATTATGCTGACATTTCCAAAAGAGGCAAACTGTCTCAGTAATCACAGGTCTGAGTACCTCTCCATTATTAGTATTCTCAGACCAATGCTATTATCAGACCTGGAGTCCCAATGCTAACCATTTTAAAAGAAAACAAGGTCTCCTAATCTACGCTCAAGTGCTGTACCAGTGCCTTGAGGTCCTTATACCCACTTTTCAATTTATTGCGGAGAGCGGGCGTTTAAACATCCCTCGACCTGTTCATTCAGCTGCATTCTCATCTCCAAAGTCCATGTGGCAAAGAGTATGGCTGTTGATTTAGTGTCGGATATTTTCATATTCCTTGCCTGGAAGAATGTGGCAAGCACTGCCAGATTGGTGCTCTACTTTACACATATGTCATCAACTACATGACCCAACAGTCATCCGAATAGGTAACGATCTTAATGCCGTGTGGATGGCATGGAATTCTGGAAAGGTAGAAGTTAAACAGTTCTGGAGATATCGCCCCTCACTCTTAAGAGTTTGAGCCTTTGTTGCGGAATTTCTCGAACGACTGACTTTCACACATTTAATTGTCTATTCAACTTTTCAAACTAGGTAGGAGGGTGGTATTCTTGACTTCCTCTAAAAGTGTAGCGTGATTTACCGTATCAACGGCCTTAATAAGTCAAGGGCCTCTATTTGGAAATTTGGTCATATTTCGGGTATTAACGCAATATCGAAAAGTTGATGAGGTCTCGGAAAATTCTTTCTGCCAGCGTATATCAGAAGATTTAAGCAGTTCTCTACAGGAACAGCAGGTGAACTCTCAGAATTCTGGCCACAGTCGATTAAGGGAAGAATGTCTGACCAAACAGAGAATTCTTTATAGAGTCTAGTCTCTGCACCGCTGCCATCAAATTATTCCTTCGATTTATAAATGCCACTAACTCGACTATCTTATCTGGGAGTCCGTTGCAATTGAATTGAAAATCCGGAATGGGAACAGTTACATCTGGGTACTTTTCGGGAGACTGCGTTAGAAATCCGTACTCCGACGACGACTGAGACAATGATTCTGGCGTAGATTGCAACTACGCGGCTGCACCAACGTTATCCCTTTCGCTATAGTCTCGAAACTTTCACTTTGCATCCACTTAATCGCACCAAGACAGATCTGAGGTGGATAGCATGGAATGGAGATATGTTCGATCCCGGTACGGACTGTAAGTATCCGGAGGATGCAAATCGCGATATCTTGTTTCGGGTATCGTACATCCCGCCGCCGTAGTCTTCATAATTTTTATACCCTTAACCATGTGGCCACGAAATAACGGCTTTAGAGCCTAGGTCTCTTTGGACCAAATCCATTTCATTGCGAGAATGGTTAATATCGTTCCACTCCTTTAAGTAACTTTCCCACAGAGTCACATGTATTGATCTAACCTCCTTTTACACTGCGAGGAATATGAAGATATCTGTCACTAAATCGACGGTGACACTTTTCACACATGGACAGCGGAGATGAGGCTATCTATGAATGTGCAGGTGGATGGAGTTGTAAATCCGAACTACCCCTAGGTCTTAGGGGTCACAATTTATAGCTTTTTCAAGTCGTCCGCGCATACCACAGCTATCTGCGATAAGATTAGGAGTAGGAACAAGGTTCTCAAGTCTCTGGCCGGCTGCACTTGGGGAGCTGATGGAGTTGTAAATACGACCACCAACTACCCCAAGGTCCACCTACATGAGAAGGCGAAGGCCTTACCGGTGCGACAACATAATAAAATGCTGTCAATGCAATACCTGACAGAGCCATCCGAATCACCATCTGTGGATAGGCAACCTCCGCTCAGGCACGTAAGGAAAGACCTTCATGATCTACAGAGAGAGGTGCAAAGGTATTGGAGAGATCCTCTAGATCAACAGGCCTATCAAGCGGGACTGAATAGTATTCACTCTGTGTAGGTTGCATCCTTTTTGAGACTGGACTTAGAGGCAAAGCCCGATTGAGAAGAATTAGATCGAACACAGTAGTATGAGCTGCTACAACAACAAACAAAGGGTCAAAATGTTGAATAATTATAAAATGTGATGTAATAGTTCGATACACCTGTCGGCTAAACCGACTGACACTTTTTAACTTGTTTCTTTAATGTTTGGCGACCTAGCCTACAGAATATTGCTGATTAGTATGATTTCATATTGGCTGATGACTTCGGAGGACACCCACTAGATTTTCCACATTACACATATATTTTATATTCTAACCAAGGAAGCTTCCTTGAAACAAAGCAACCTTCAAACAAATTACCGAGGTTCTTTTGAAACAAGTCGCCGTTGTTCCTAGGGGACTATGTGACCTAGTAGGAAATACGAACGACGACCAAAGCCTCCTGTGAATTAAAATCCAATATCCAATAAATGCATTTATTATAGGTCATTAGTCCATGTGACCTCATAAGCTAGCTTGCGTAGGCTTGAAATATTTTAAACTACTCTCGAGTATCTTTAATATTTCGATACACAAATAATAGTAAAGGGCTAAGTACATAAGAAGCTTGAAGTCGTGGCTAGGCATATTTTGTGACATTTCAAAAAGGGATTACAGAGCCGCACTAAAATCCAGCCGTCGTTTTCCATTATAATTTGACATTAATATGCCTAGCCATGACTTCAAGCTTCTTATGTACTTAGCCCTTTAGACATTTCCAATGTACCTAGAATTCTTAAATTTATTAACCACTTAGAACAATAAAATAATATTACAAAACTTTAGAATCCGGAACAATTGATCTTTTATCAAAAAACGGAAACCATGCAAACTAACGGCCCAGTGTATGCATCTACTAGCCATTTGGCTATAAACATAAATTCAGGAAAATCACAGAATCAAATCTAGAATCTTAATTTACAATATTACATCGGTTCTGCTGCTACTAACTACTTCCGAAACCTAGATTTATTCTGTGTTTTTTATTACTGTTTTGTTTTCAGGTTTTTGTTGTTGTTGCATAGAGATCTTAAAACTAAGCCGAAGTAACCCAATACCTGTCTCTCCATCTAAAGAGGTAACTAACTACAAACCCAAATCATTGTGATTTGTAGGTTTTTAGATGAAGTTGGTTCCACATGAGTAATTCAGAAGGTAAACGGCCATTGTTGTTGCAGTTGGAAAAACAGCAAACGCACGCGCCAGCCCTTTGGTGGAAAACAAAACATGAAAGAATAGCAAAATCAAAATACAAATGATAATCTTCGAAAGATTGTTTTAATGAATTAAAAAAAGAATAAGTGGCAACGAATTCAAAGAAACGTAAAAATGCACTACCTAACTCTATTGGATAGTTAAAAAGCAGAAAATCTTTAAGGGATCTGAAGTAAAGTAATGAAAAGAAAAGTCTCAGAGCTTGATGCTAATTTCTTGTTCTGGTGCCGAGCTAGAACAAAACCCCTGCCATGATTTTCCAACTCCTAATTCAGCTTAGTTTTTATACCCTCCATAATACATGGTATGAAGGGTATATTTAGTTCGTCATTCCGTTTGTAACTCATCAAATAATAATTTTAGACCTAGCAATTACATATAATCCTGATCAGCGTAAAATTCTAAGACGATTAAGCGTTCGTCTGTCCGTCCGTCTGTTGTAATCACGCTAGAGTCAAAACGAATTAAGATAGGAAGTTAAAATTTTGCACAGATCAGTCATTTGTGTGCATATTGGTTCACGATATCGTATGGCCCCCATATAACGATACCCCTCCCAATATTAGGTATTTCGATGATATAAGGCACATTTTTCAATGGAATTGTTTGAAATTCTATACAAGGAGTTCTTTGTATGAACGGCACCTCCCGATATTTTTTCAAAATCCACACAAGGAGTTTCTTCTGAGTACTTTACTCCCTGGAAGAGAATTGCCTATATAGGTGCACGATATCGTATATCCCCCATATAACGGTACCTCCCGATTTTCGATATTTTGATGATTGTAACCACATTTTTTAAAGGAATAGTCTGAAATTCGACCCCTTGCAAGAGAATTTAATATATAGGTCCATGATATCGTATAGCCTCCATATAACGATACCCCCAAATATTCTATATTTTGATGATTTTAGCGATATATATCCGGTATTTTGGTTAAATTTGCGACATTGTTCAACGGAATTGTTTCAAATTTCGTGTTTGAAATTTGGAATCGATACAACAGACTATGACAAAAAAAATTACTTTTGCAGGTAGGATATTAATGTATGTAGGAGATATCAGTTAAGTTTAGAACTTCTGTCCATGTCCAAGGTGCATTTCCATCGATTTATAGCAGTGATATACGTTATTTGCCAGACATAAGCCCGATCTTGAAAGGCAATAACTAGAGGATTTGATTTACCATCATGCGTTTTGACATTCCGTTCTAGGTAGCGACCAGGGACGATCAGCGTTGGCAGAGCAGATTGATTGTTCCACATTCTATGCGGTAAATGAGTATGCCCACCCAAATAAGTGGGTCGCCAGCTTTAATAATTATATTTGATAAATCGTAATTTCTCTTGGATCAGATCATCGCCCCATAATCGTGTACATAAGCTGCCTAACTATTTTGATGTTCTAGTAGCCTAACATTAAATACCCGGAATATGACCAAATTTTTAGGGAGAGACGAGTAAGCTCCGACGTTGCAACACTAATGGTCTTATATTCAGCACACTGTTGGTGAAGGACAACAGGTTGGTACAGGAGCACAAGAGAAAAAATTGGTAACAGACAAATGACTTTTGAATCCTGGGAAAAAGGATAATAGGACCGTAGTCTCGATTGACGATATAGCGGTGACTGATCCGAAAAGGAGACACTAGCCTATGAGTCGAGCACCTTGAAAGTAATATGGCGTAGCAAAGTGTACAACGTCGTATGAGATCTCTCCCGACGAGAAGGTTACTAGGTTACGATAATGTAAATGCCATCCGAAATGGTAAAGCATCCAAATCATTGGGCTCGGACGGAATATCAATGGTAATATTTAAACAGCTGGATACGCCGGAAGTCGAGTATCTAAGTAAAGCCCTCAACTTGCTAAATCGAAACCTGGAAAATGGCCGATTTCTATTTTATCACCAATAGCAAAGACACTTGAAGTTTTCATCCTCTCCAGCATTAATTTGCTGACCATTAACATGATAGCACTACATCAGCATATAACGCCATTTCCACATACATTCTAAGAGGACTCAGGACCATCGCACTCAGCACGCACCACCCAAGAATGGTTACAAAGTGAGGTTCCTCGCAACATTTCCAGCGCACAATGGTCGCCAAAATTTCCAATCCGTTGGACTATTGTGTCTGGAGTATTTTGGAAAGCAAGGTTGGCACTAAAAATTACCAAAGTGTCGATCACCTCAAGCAAGCGCTTCGCCGGGCATGGGCCAAAATATCGCAGAGCAACATTCGGGCAGCGTGTGATGGTTTCATTGGCCGTTTGAAGGCCATAATTCGTGCCAAAAGTGACCAATTCGAACAAATCTAAACTTATTTTAAAATTTGATGCTATTTCCGACATTTTTTGCTTTCATTCAATAAAATTAAAAAAAAAATGTAAAAATTTTGACGTTTGAATTTGTTGCAGCTTTTTTTAATTTCACTCTGTGTATTAGTAGTGGTAGTGATGGCAGTATTAGTGGCACTTAACTTATCTAAGACCTTTGATAATGTCAATCATGCCATGCTGTTCGACGACGTCGAGAATACTACCTTTCCGGAATTCTGCGTCCTCCATATTGCATTGAGATCGTTACCCATGCGGATAACTTTACAATCATGACGTAGGCTCCAGTCGTTGATGACATATGCTGAGACCAGAGCACAGATATGCTCATTTGTACTCGGGAGCGAAACTTGCTCGCGAGCAGGATTGCTTGAAAACTGAGACTTTTTTACGGAGTCTACATTTACCTCTTTTGTTTTGTGTGGAAGCACTCCCGAATCACTCCTCTTTGAAAAATTAGAGTGAGAGAAAAGCTCAAAATAGAGCAAGAGTTTGCTCTAATAGTGAAAATGAGAGAAGAAAAATAATTGGTTTTTTGATTTATGTGTGCGTGTGTGTAACACCAAACGGGGTTTGATGTTGTTGTGTACTGTAGAAGAGATGAGGTTGTGGGAGTTATGATCTTGTTCAGAACAATACACATACGTAGAAATAATGGTACGACAACAACTAAAAGGGTGTTTGGCGAGAATAGAATCTGCTCTAATGAGAACATTTTACTCACTCATATTCGAACGACATAGGTTGCAGGAACGCTCAAACTCGAATTCAAGTAAGTTCCACTCTTTGTACAAATTCGAGCGAGTTTTTCGGAGACAAGAATGCAGCTGGATGTACATATTGAGGGACACCTAATTCCGACCACTAACTAGCCCAAAATTCTAATTGTCACATTCGACACCATGTTCAAGTCGTCCGCCCAAGGTTTTCCAGGCACTAGACGACAACTCTTGGAGTGCTGATAAGGAGTTCTTGGTGACCACTTATAAAGCAATATGAATTATTTAACGCAATGGTAAATGGTCTGAATTATTTAACGCAATGGTAAACTTGACAGAATGACACCCTGATAAGTGCCACAGAATGCCGCCGCCCAGTAGGCTATTTACATGAGAATCATACATGAGGGTATTCCATTCCCTTATTTTTTCGTTACAGTACCTGCTTGGGTGTTACCATGGAAGACATCCAAACCACTCCTACAGGATAGAACTCCCCCACCCAGGCGTGTCAAAAGGGACCTACACAACCTAGAGAGGGATGTCCAATGATATAACGGAGAACATTTAGATCAAGAACGCCATCAAGTTCAACCCCGAAAAATTATGCAGGAAGATCCGCAAGCTGGAGCTTTACCTCCGTAACACGACCTTTCTGAAATTCAATAACCACTTATTGAAAAATTATTAGAACTTCACTTCAAAAAAATGAAAAGATTTATTTGTCATTATTTTTTTTGAAATTAATATTCAAACACATTTTTTACATAAATATTCCAACATTTGCAAGAGAAATTTTAAATTATCAGTAGATGTAAACTACGAAGAACGATATTTGGCTGAATTCGTAACGGTTGGGATATTTCATTGAAGTAATTATTGCCTCATATGTCAACGCCGAAGGTATTGTAAGGAAATGAGGTCTGTGCTTGATCTTAAAATGGTATTTTGGAATATTTCAGGAAAGTCTCGTATCCAATTTCAGAGGAATCCAAAAACCTGTAATGGATGAAACAGTAATGAAAATGTTGAGAAGTTTGTTGCACATCAAACGTAAGTATCCTTCAGGAACTGCATATATATATATATATATATATATATATATATATATATATATATATATATATATATATATCCCCGCGACTGCTGACATCTTACGTACTCGTAATTACTATTTACCTGTTATCAAAAACTAAGACTTTAAAAAATGCAATATATGATTAATAAAAACACAGTCAGGAAAGGAGAGAAGTCGAGCGTTCCGACTATACCCCACAAAACCCTTTGCATTAGAGCTTCCTATAAAAATTTTCTATTATATACGAGTAAATATTATACAAATTTCTCTTGTGGCAAATAACCTTGCTGTAGATTCAAATGAACCATTTTTATGGGTACTAATTTTTTACCTCCCACCATTGTGTGGAGGGTAAATTAAGTTTGTCATTCCGTTTGTAATACCTCGAAAAACACCCCACAAAGTAGATATATTCTTGATTAGTATAAAATTCTGTCGATTTAACGATGTCCATCCCTCTGTGGAAATCACTCTACCTTGGTATTGAAAATGGGCTATTTAGGTCCACATTTAGGTATAGCCCCCATATCACTGTACCTCCCTTCATTCGACATTTTGATGATTTTAGCAATATTGTTCGCCGGAATTGTTTCAAATTTCGTATATGAAGTTCATAATGGGTATTACATTCCATGACAGAAAATTGTCTATGCAGGTTCAGATCTTCGTTCATCTCCCATATATTCGTACCTTCTAACATTCGGTATTTTGATGGTTTAAGCGACATTATTAACTCCAATTGCTGTGAAATGTTCCTAATAGGTACTACAGCCTGTGGCAGAATATTGGCTATGCTGGTCCGTGTCTTCGTATAGCCCCCATAAAAAGTCACTTTACACATTTACATTCATTTTTAGGTACAATTCACATTTTAGGTACAATATTCACCGGAATTCAAATTTCGTATTTGAAGTTTCTACTAGGTACTACAGCCTGTGACAGATTGCAGGTGCAGGTCTTCGTATAGCCCCCATATATCGGTACTTCCCTATCAGTGATATTTTAATGTTTTTGCGGCATTATTCACCGGAATTGTTTCAAGTTTCGTATTTGAATATGTAATGGCTCATGACAAAAATTGCCTTTGCAGGTCCACTTGTTCGTATAGACTTTAATATAATGGAAACTGCCTACATTCGATATTTTTAGGATTTTAAAAGATTTTTTTATCGGATTTTATTTATTTACTTTTTGAAAATTTCCAAATTCGTTTCAAATGGAGGAGGGTATTCAAAGTTCGGCCGAGTCGATCTATCCATGTCTTTTTTATGAAATTTAGAAACGATGTGTCACTTTTTTGAACCACCCCCACAAAATTTTGTATTGGACCAACCTGTAAAAATGTTGAATAATCATAACTTTACAAAAAATGCCAAATTATGCCCCGAATTTCCCCAAACTTTGCACATCTCAATATTTCAATTACCACTATTCTTAAATTCTAACTGCAAATATTTTCAAAAAAAAAAAAAAAAATAAAATAAAATAAAATAAATAAATAAATAAATAAAATTCGTCTTGGAAATTAAGAGAAACTGCCGATTTAAATGAAATTCTATCCAGCAACATTTTTATTAGGCTGTCTTCTAGCATTTTGAAGAGTAATATCTCATTTTTAAAATTAAAATTTAAAATTATTGTTCGATTTTCTTAAATCTTCTCATATCTCAATAGTTTTGCCAATATAGGATCAAATTTGGATATGGTATACATCAATCCACTGCTTATGGTATCTTCCTCATTCACAAATTAATAAAAAAAAACAATAATTACGAACCAAATCGAACCAAGTCCACGATTTAGTTCAAACTTCCCACTAAACGTGAAATTTTTCAAATGAAAAAAAGCATATCTTTTTTAAAACGCCTGGTTGATTATCAGATGAAGTTTAAACCTGTACATATCAAAATCAGCTAGTGTCCGCTACTTTCCCAGCGAAAAGTCCACCTTAAAATTTTAGATTCGTTCCAACAGTTCGTGCTGGTCCTTCCTAGTACTCAAAATGCACAATTTGTTCAGTTTGACAAAATCTCTTCAAAATCTTTCAATTTGAATTTTACCGAGGAGGATATTAGAAAAACCATTGCACAATGGACTCACATCCAATTTTTCTGTCCAAAACTATTTCAACGTCTCCCTATGTAAACCCTAGAAACCCACAGTGACCAAATTTCAGAATTTCAGCCTTTCTCCTCATATTTAATACCATTCGAACAAATATACGTCGCATTTTTAAACCACCGCAAAAACTCAAACACAGGTCACAATCTAAATATACAATTTCGGAATTTTATCTCTATCCCTTCACTAAATATCAAGTTAAGTACTATTTAGTACACTTGCAAAACCACCACTATATCTCAACACCAGATACCAAAAGAGACCTCAATATTAAATTTCGCCCAACACTAAATTTAGTACTATTGCGTACTTTTCGAACAAATATGGGACGCATTTCCAAACCATCGCCAAAACTCAAACACAGATGCCATTAATATGAAAATCTAATTTCAGAATTTTATCTCTATTCCTTAACTCAATATCAAATTTAGTACTTTTCAAACAATTGTAGTACGCAATTTGCATCCCTCAATTCCAGATACCAATAGAGACCTCACTATTTAGTACTTTTCGAATAATTATGAGACGCATTTGCAAAACCACCACCATTTAAAAACCCACCTCTAAATATCAACATCAGATACCAAAAGAGAACTATTTTTCAAATTTTAGGGTTCCAGCTCTATACAATTAACCAATACCAAATTTGGTTAAATTTAGTACTTTTCGTATGATTTTAGTCCACATTTACAAAACTACCAGATATTATTAATATTAAATTTGAGGATTCCAGCCCTATCCCTTCACCCAATACTAAATTTAGTACCATTTAGTACTTTTCGTACAAATGTGGGACGCGCTCTCAAACCACCGCCAAATCTCAAACACAGATACCATCACTAATCTAAATATCAAATTTTAGAATTAGATCTCTGCCTCTTTACACAATATAAAATTACAGAACACATTTCCAAAATCACCTCCATATGTTCAGGCTACACATGAACAGCGACCCTAGTACCAAATTTCACATTACAAGCACTATCTGTTCATTCAAGTACCATTTAGTATAGTTCGCACACTTAGTATAAATTTCCAAAAACACCTCTTTATCACAAACATACCAAAAACAGCGAATCCAGAACGAAATTTCAAAATTTTAGCTTCATCTCTTCACCCTAAATCCATTGAGGACCATTTAGTACAGTTCGCATACTTAGAACACATTTCCAAAACCACTTTCATATATCATACTTTATTTTTATTCTCATACCAAATTTTAATTCAATTTTAGAAGTTTGGTACTATTTTAGAACCTTTCGTAACCTTAAGGTTCGAATTTTCAAAAACCCCTTGATACATATATCTGGCAATCCATCAGTGCTCATTCCGTTTGACCAATGCCATTTTAGTACGATTTTGCAAACATCCAGCCTTATCTCGACTACGCACCAAGACTGACGACTCGTGCAAATTTTCAAAATTCTAGCTTCTGTCGTTTCGTCTGGGCGTTGATTGTCAGTAAGTCAATTATTTCTCAACTGTATTACTTAGATCTAGAGTTTTTCCTCCACTGGCATAACTTCATATTATTCTCTATTACAGAGAGTAATGCTTTTCAATAACGAATCTACCACATTTGCAATATCTGCTGATTGCTACCAATATCATGATTTCAGCCCTCTGACGGGAATATTTACTTGGCATTTTCAGCTTTTTAATATGATGACTTTAATGAATTTCCTTACAAAATTTGTCGGAATTTCTCTTTGATTTGGTTAATAACTTTAAAGGTGTTACACCTGGCATTTCCGTTTTTTGATCACCAACGATTTACGAAGTAATGTGGAAGAAATGTAATATGGGTATATTCCCTTCTGGCAAATCACATTAAGATTCATCAATAATTTTCCCATAACTTACCCAATATTCTAATTGAACTTCAATCTAGCAGTCTCCCATAGAAAAACCCACCACAAGATCATTAACATCTTCAAATGGAGACCGAAGAAGAGGAAGAAGAATCATCTCAAGTTGCCTCAGAGCATAAGAAAAACAAAAAACACTCACACACATTCTCCATGGAAACCCGATAGAATTATTCATTCATCAAATTTCTTACTTTCATGTGAAATGCATCCATTCCTAGCCAATTTTTGCCAGCTCCATTGAAAGTAAAAACCATTTTTATTCCCATATCAGGTGGTAATGCAATCAGGTGGTGTAGAGCATGGATGAGCTTTATCTTCTGGAAATGCCGCCACAATTAACAGCATTCCAAGCAACGCGGCTAACGAGATGGGGAGGGAAAGCAAATGATTCTCGTAGTGGCTACAGGCAATAACCATAACATCTTGATCGGAAGAGGTGGTGATCAGCCGCATTACTTACACTGATGTTTAAAATTTCTTAAACAAAAGGCAAAACAATAAAAATGTTCTTGGGTTACTTATTCAGTTTTGAGCTGTAGTAAATGGTAATATGGCACCAAGTACTAATGATTGGACCAGGGGTTGTGAAGGGTATGGAGCCCTTTATGCTTGGTTGCCTAAATGTATGACCGACCACACATGGCATGGTCGGCTCGCATTGTGATGACGATGATGTGTGATTGCAGGCAGAAGACCTTAATAAACCTCCATGGCTCAGTAACATACATACATTACAAGCCATCATGTCATGTACATACATATGCATGTTTGTATGTAGCTGGAACCCTAAGCGACAAGCAAGGTTTACACAGCCACAACTTACAATGGTCTTACCTGTAGCACATCATCCGCACACATAATTCTTCTTAAGCGTCTTCAATTGAAGTACATTACTCCACTTCTTGGTTGGATGTTGGTGATATATAATTCTTCTGCTAGTTGTTGTTGTTATTTGGTGTTTGTTGTCTGTATAACTTAACTTATGAGTCAATGTCTTTTCCGAATACTGTAGCACAGTGCCTAGAAAGTAGAAAATCAATTTGAAACGAATTGGTGTATTTTCAGTATACGGATAATCACTGAAGCAAGTAAAAAAGCCTTATATATCCCTCCACCAATTGGAAATTAAAAAAAGAAAATCCGTTAAAAATTCTTTTAAAATCTTAAAAATTGCGAATATAATCGTTATATTGGGGTCTATACGAAGACGTGGATCTGCATAGGCAACTCTTGTCATAGGACATTACAATATTCAAATATGAAATTTGGAAAAAACGAGTAAAAAACGGCCAATGTTCGATTATTTAAAAATATTTTGACTTCTGTTATGATTATTTAAATGTTTAACCCTTTATGCAGCAGGTTCCGAAGGAATGTGCCAATGTTGGCCATCTCGTATTGGACCTAAATAAATATGATATAAATATTGCGACGTGCTTGGTTTGGACCGTGTTGTGTTGATGGAAATATTGGGATGTACAGAGTTTTGAATGGAATCGGATGTCAATTTCGCTTTTTATAAGCTTCATGGATATTCAAAATTTTGAGCTTTTGTGGGGGAGGTACCAGAAGGTTTTTTTTTCACAGATCCTGTGTTGATAGAAATATTCAGATGTGTCAAGTCTAAATGGAATCCGATGTTAATTTCGCGTTTTATGAGTTTAATAGATATTAAAAATTTCGACCATTTTTGGGGGAGGTACCAGAAGGAGTGGACCGATATATTTCATCTTAACACCAGATCTTGGGTTTATAAAAATATTGGGATGTAGAAATTTGAAGACAATGGGACTCTTACATCACATTTTATGAGACTGATTATTATTCAAAATTGTAATCCTTTGTGGGGGAGGCAGTTGATGGAGTGGACCGATATTGTCCATTTTCACACCTGACCTAGCACTAACGAAAATATTAGGATTTCCAAAGATGGAGCAAAATCGGAATATACTTTCTCTTTCTGCGAAAAAAAAATATATTTTTTTAAATTTCGACCATTTGTAGGAGAGGTACTAGAAGGAGTAGACCGATATATTTCATCTAAACACTAGACCTTGGGCTAATATAAAAATTGGGATGTGATCACATTTTATGAGAGTTGTAACTTTTTAAAATGTTGACCATTTGGGGGGAGGTGTTTGATGGAGTGGACCGATATTGTCCATTTTCACAGCTCACCTAGCGCTAACACAAACATTAGGATTTGCAAAGTTGGAGCAAAATCGATCTAAGTTTGACAAAAATATTACGATGTATCAAGTTTGGACCAAATCGGATACTGCCTTCGAGAGTTCGCACCAGCCAAACAGACGGACGGACATCGCTAGAACGACTCCAAATATTCTGAAACGGATTTGGTCCAAAGAAACCTAGGGTCTTAACCCGTTATTTCGACTAGGCACGTTTTGACCGTATCAAATGAAATATACCCTCTGTAGCCATATGGCTGAGGGTATAAAAATCCGGTGAATAATATAGCTAAAATCAACAAAATACCGCATATAGGGAAGTTCCGATATATGGGGTCTATACGAAGACCTGGACCTGGTGCCTATTAGGAACTTTAAATACGAAATTTCAAATAATTTCGGTCAATATTGTACCTAAAATCGTCAAAATGCCGAGGTACTGATATATTGGGCCTATACGAAGACCTGCATAAACAATTCCATTGAAAATTTTGGCTAAAATCATCAAAATACCGAATATCGGGAGGTATCGGTTTATGGGGGCTATACGAAATCGTTGACCGAACTTGACCTGCCTGCACACAAAAGACTGATCTTAGCTTCCCATCTTAATTCGTTTTGACTCTAGCGTGAGTACAACAGAGGGACAGTTTGATGGACGGACAGGGCTAAATCTTCTTAGAATTGTACGATGATCAAGAATACGGAATGACGAACTTAACATACCCTCCATAATATGTATGGTGAACGGCCTAAGTGCAGTATGTGAGCCCTTCCGCTTTAAATGAATCAGACCTCCGAAAAACACGCTCGAATTTGTACAAAGAGTGAAATTCACTCGAATTCAAGAGAGTACGCTCCTGGGGGAAGGATAAAATCGAGCAAACTCAATTTTTCGATATTGCTCGAATATGAGTGAGCATGTTTTCCTAGTTTTTGAGTGAGAGCCAAATGCGTTCAAAATCAAGCACATTCTAACCTTGCCTAGAACTCTCCTACTTTTTGTCATACCGTTATTGTATTTCTCTTGATATGTGTTTTCTGTACAAAATCACTCCTCTTCTGCAGTACGCATCAACATCAAATATTTTTTCATTTGTTTTACTAATTTACACTCTTGGAGCAAACTCTTGCTCTATTTTGAGCGATTATTCTCCCACTCTAATTTTTCAAACAGCAGTGACTCGGGAGTGCTTCCACACAAAACAAAGTAAAAATGAGCAAAATTTGTGCTCTGACATGAATATAGTGTTTTAGTCCAAAAACACAGTTTTCGAAATTCGTTCCATAAGGGTACGAAAAGTGCAAAAAGGTACTAATTATGCTACCGTTAATATCTAGCGGTTGAAATGTGCTACAAGGGTACGAAATTAAATTATGATATGACACAATTTTTGCAAGTAAGCGTAGATGTGCAGAAGGATTTTTAATAAATGTCAACTTTAAGTGTACGAAAAGCACCAAGAATTACTAATTCGGTACCATAATGTGGTGTGTAACGGATAGTGCTAAAATCTTGAAATTTTATATGACTGATATCAAAAGGTGGTCTTGAAAATAAGTGTAGCTATCGTACCAAGTGGTACTAAATTTGGTACAAAATGGTATTAAATTTGGTTCAAAATGGTACTAAACTTGGTACGAAAAAGCATCGAGTAGCAACTCTAAGTTTTAGTATAAGAGCGAATGTAAATAAAAAGTTTTCATATAAGATGGTGGATTTCGAAATGAGCCCTATATTGAGTAAGAAAAGTACCAAAATGAAACTATATTTTGTGTATAGTAGGGAAAAGAGCTAAAATTGCGAATATTGATATAGGGATCACTGTGAGTGTGTGATGCTTAGATAAGAAAGTGCATTCTGAAATTCGTTCCATATAGTGTACGAAAACTACAAAATGGTACTATATTTGGTGTAAAGGAAATTACATTATTGATTTTTGTATAATGTCAATGGGGATAATGTAAATAGGAATGGTGGTGAAATTATGAATTTTGATATACAAGTTTTCTGAGAGTCTTGAAGATTAAGACAATTGTTTTTTTTCTCGAAAATTCGTACTTTATAGTGTACGAAAAGTACTTAATGATACTAAATATGATATAAAGTGTGGGAATAACACTGGAATTATGATTTCTGATATAAAGGTCAATGTGGGGTTTCTAAATCAAAATTGTATCGAACAAGTCTGTCAAATCTACTCTAAAATTTACAATTAAGAGCATACAATTTTTACGACATTATGAAAGCAAAAAAAGAATGTCGTATTCTGCTGAACAAAAATATTCTTATGGTTGCTTTTTGGGAACACAGGATTAGTTTTGAAATTATGTACAATTATATTATTTCTTTTAATATTTCTGATAAAAGTTCCAAAATACTCCTTAAAGTTCAAAATGCTGTATTCGTCACACTGTGCACGCATGCTATTTAGATTGTACAATATGTCACGACGACACACAATGACATAAAGATGATTAAGATCATCATCAGGTAATTGTCATTCTTAACGACGACTTCAATGATTATGGCGTTGACCATCATTATGATGATCATCACGATGATATATTTATGTATGTATGTCCAAGTAATTATAAAGTAAAAAAACGGAGTACCCCTGCATTTATGTAGATATGAAATGAATACTTAAACTCCTCTTTATATGTATGTGCGTAAACATGGGTTTTTTGTTAATTTTTTTTAAATATTATGTGAGTTTGTTTTATTTTTATGCTGTAACTTGATATTGGTGTCAGTAGCATAAAGTAATTCAACAAAAATATGTCCCATAGCCATCCTCATCAACATCCACTGACAAATGTGAGTGACTGCAATAAAAACCAAGAAGTCAAGATATTCCATGGACATATTTTTTTGTTTTCAAATTAAAGAGGGCAGTATAGTGGGAAACTGGTAAAATCCTAACAATCTCAAAATGCATATAGTAATTTCTATTGAAAATTAGAAAAACAAACAAGTGTGGAACGTATTTGCTCTGTTCCAGAACTGCAAGAAGGTAAACTTTTTACTACGATAACAAATTTTTTTATGATATCGAAAAAAATTGCAAAACTTGTAAATTTTTGCAGGTTCGAGTAAAGATCAATTGGTTTTGGTAAAATGATCGGTCGTGGTTGTTCACGAAAAAAGGTTGCTATAGAAACTCTGATTTCTCTTTGCTACAAAAAATCTTGTTACTGACAATATTTTCTATTGAAAATCTGGTTTTTGACAATATTTTCTATAGAAAACCTCAATATCGATAAGATTTTCTGTAGAAAATCATAATATCGATAATATTTTCTGTAGAAAATTATAATATCGATA